AACATAACATAACATAACATAACATAACATAACATAACATAACATAATATAATATAATATAATATAATATAATATAATAATTAAATAAAATTTTAGTATTTCTAAACCTAAAGTATTCATTTATTAATTCTTTCAAGATATGTGATGTGCCCAAACCGCATGTACTCAACGCCAATTTAAGATAGCAATACATAGGCCATCTCTAAGTGTTAGGACTACGTACCACAGCACTGGCTTCAAGCAATTTTCATAGTCAAAGAAAGCCATCATTTATAATCCAATAACCATGTCTAATGCCGATATCACATACTCATCCATAATACTACTAAAGAACGCTGAAGCGTGAAACACACTGACAGCGGGTGCGGGTCGGGCGCGTGTCGGGTCAAGAGCACTATGAGTACCAGAGCAAAGGAATTCATTTTGAGGCATTAACCGGAACACTCTGAACAGAACCATTATATCGTCGTTTTTTTGTAGAAAAGCAGGAAAATATTTTACGTCTTGTTTTAAATTCAATTTTAAAACTTAAACTTAATTAAAACCAAAACTGAATTTTAAAACAGGACGTAAATATTTTAAAACAGTCGTTTAAAACCTAAAACAGGCTTGTTGACTTTTTTTCGAAATGTCATTTATTGGTATCAATGTGTAATTCCCGTAATGCAAAAATCTTATCTCATCGCGTCGTTTGGCGAATTATTGTATTATCCCAGAATTAATATGCAAAATCTTATCACGTCGAGTCGAACGACAAATTCTAATATTTACCAATGTATTTACCCCAGTATCATTTCTGTAATTACCTAATGTAAAATCTTATCACGGCATCGAATCAATCAACTAATTTTACGTATTTCTCCAGCATCGGTATTTTATTTACCTTAGTGTAAAATTTTATCACGTCGAGTCGAACGACGAATTCTTATATTTGCCCCAGTACCAATATTGTAATTACCTAAACGTAAAATTTTATTACGTCGTCGAGTCGATCGACGAATTCGACCTGCACTTTCAATAAACCTCGGTGGGAGTGGAACTGATTCAAATATATTTAGTGGATTTTAAGGGCAAATAAATATTTGGGCTTTGGTATAAGTGAAAATTTTGTTATCAAGTTTTAAAGTATCCACACGAGTCTCACCTCTTACATTATAAACGTAGAGTTCGGCGAATCTGTTGAAATCGCAGGACTGGCCTTTGGTGCCCCCGGGCTGGCCGAACAGGTAGTTCGTTAGGAACTGAGACAGCCGAGGATCTATTTGTGGTCCCCATAATTTCTGGAAAACGAAGTAAAATAATTTACTGTGAGACCATGTTATAACATAGACCCATTTGTTCGTAACAAATAACGTTGATAACTGCAATGCTCCTAACTTGTCTAACAAAGGGCCTGCGCACAAGGACTGGAAGGCAGAGGACATAAAGTTTATCAATTTATATTGTATGCTATACCAATTGAAATAAGGTATAAATTTCAGTGCTCTGAGACCGATTTCGGAGCGTCGCGACGCATTTCTCTCTGCGGCATTGAAGTCCACACTAAAGGATGGCAGAGGCAGGAGGCGCCGGTGTCCGCCAGAATGCGTCGGGGACTTTTGGACTGTGGAACAGAATCGCGACATTCCTCTATTTAACTGCCTCCGTGGCCGAACGGTTACCATGCCGGACTGCCACGCAGAGGTCCCAGGTTCGATTCACGGGCCGGGAGAAATATTTGTATGGCACACATTTATTTCTCTCGTGAGTTTGGGTGTAATTTGTGGTTGTCTGTGTGCGTCCATGGCACCCGCGACACAGGGCTTCCCTAATGCGGGGCTATGATGAATGTGTGCGTTATTATTATTATTCCAACAGATTCTGCAATACGCTGGCGGACATATATCCCTATGGATACATTCCAGTTTCTTATCACGATACCAGTCGTGCCTCCGGTGTTAAGCGACACGCCTGTCCACTGAGACATAAGTTGACAAGTCCCATGTTATAGGCACATATTTCGCCAGTACCCTTCAAAACCGGAACGCAGTAATGCTCACATTATTGCTTCGCGGCAGAAATGGTTGTAGTAAGGTGGCAGTACTTCCCTGGACGAACTCTTTCACAAGGAGCTCGACTGTTACAAAAAACTAAAACTGCATTGTCGCTAGTGGAGCAGAACCAAATTTGAGCAACCAGTGGCATATCGGCGGACGCCGCGACTATCTCGACGTATAAGGGTTATATAAATAAATTTTAACACTCATCCTCTCATTTCAAAACACGTGGTGAAGTGACATAAAGGCAAACCAGAGCTAAAATCATTAATATTCATACCAACCTCGTTGCCATAAATTAATTTATGAGAATAACTGCTTCAATATGTGCATAATGACCTTTTAGTTTACCTACCTACCTACTACTACCTACCTACAGACCTATGTTTAAATCACAATTGATAAAATGGCTTATGATACATTGATTCTATAGTAATAAAGAACATTTAGAATTTACAAATACTAATTTATATTTGAAATGCAATTAATTTTGGAGGCCAAAACGTTTCATTAAACGTTTAATTAAATTAACAACTGCTTGCAGGTTGAATACATTATATGTAATTTTACTTAAGATCTGTATAATGACTGAAAGAATACAGTAATAATGGTGATGTCCCTCATCAGTGTGCGCTGGCGGGCATAAAATTCTCTTCAACGCTCACCCCTGTCGTCAGTTTGCGCTAACCCTAACACTATCAAATCATCTATTTTTAACTACCATCCGTAAAACATCTTCAGTGGTGATTGCTACGGTATACAGTATAACCGCTAATTCGTAATGCTTGTGTGGTGATGAACCTAGTTTTTTTGTTTTTATACTCTTGTAACCTACTCCTAATACAGTCCATATTGCGAAACTATACATTAAAAATTATTACCCAATAAAAGCACGCAATAATTTTAGAACGTAAAAAACAATTTTAAGTAGCTATTAAACCCATTAGAGATTTCGTGAAAACTCCGTAAAGGTAAACACAAATTTTGAGATTTAACCTCCAATAAAAAATACAATGGGAAAAGCGCTACACGCGCATTGTGTACATTAAAATGTACTAAACATGCTGCAGGCATAAGCTAGCATGTCCTCAGTTTTGTATGAAAAATGTATTTTCCTATATAATCTGTCTTTTTGAAGATGGAGTAAAATGACTTTTGCAGGGTATAGTTACATAGTTTTTGTCGATAATTTTATCGATAGATAGTGAACGTAGGTAAAACTTTGCCAAAAATGTCTCAATTTTGAAAGTTGCGATGATTGTATTATTTATTCTTACAGTTGGTCTATTAGTATCGTAATCAATTTTTAAACATACATTTTAATAACGGCAAGCGGATTTGATTATGTAAGTATATTAAATTCAAATGAAAAACTTAAAAATATATCTCTCTCTAAATATATCTCCTATTTGTATTTTTTATATACATACTGCTAAATTAGTGTGTGTATGCATGAATTAAAAAAACTGCCCAGCAGTTGGATAAATAATGGGCCGATGATGATGCGGATGAAACAAACCTGCCTATTTATTTTCTAAGCATAACTAACAGTCGATAGTCGATGTAATTAATATTTATCGACTGCAATCACTAGATGCTTGTAAGAGGGCAACACTTTTGCGCAATGAACTGTCAGTTTAGTCCATCCTTAAAAAAAGATGGTCATATAGATTACATAGCAGTAATTTTCACAATAATTAAATTTAATTTATGGTCGTATGAATCCAATTCTAATAATTTCAAATTCAAATTGTTTATTAATCTAATGTGACAAATAATTTATGAATGTTGTGTACTCCTTAATGGGATATGTATTAGAAATGAAAATGATTATTTAAGTATTTTAGAAATGTGTAATACGTATTCCGTGGATGTACCTTCTTAAATAAATAAATAAAAATTTGAAGGCGATATGTTCATTAATTTTTACTGGGGTTTTACGTGTTCATAAGAATAATATTGTCTGGGTCTGAATTGCTTCAATGCACATTTTGATGTACATGGAACCTTAGTAGAGTAAAATTATACCTAGCTGTAGAACTTGAGCCAGAAAAAAATGTTATCAAAAATTTATATTAAATTTGCCGTCTTCGCTGTGAACAATGTCAAAAATCGAAATAAACGATTACAATAAAAAAAAATTGAATAAAGTTATTTAGTGTATAAATATAATGCTTGTTAATTGCAATATACAATGCTGCGTTCAATGACTGGCATTCTGATGTGGGGTAGCAAAACAGCTAGGCTCACCCGAGTAGGCGAATGTCGTCACTCCTTGGGTGCCAGAGGATGGAAGATGCTGAGAAGGCATTGGCGGGGCAAGTTTCAGAAGGGTGGTGGGAAATCGCCAAAGACAGGGAGCAGTGTAGGATATTGGAGGAGACCTTTGTCCAGCAGTGGGACACAATAGGTTAATAAAAAAAAGTTAATTGCAATGAGTTGTATGTGATTTTGCGTAACATTTAAAAACCCGCAACCAAACTGGTTCAAAATGTAACAGTCGCTGTTGCCAAAAGTTCTCCAAAATAAAAATTCTTATTTCCTAAAATTCTCCTCAAGTGACTTTCATCATCCTTTCCCAGGTCTCTTCATTTATCACTAACAATATTAATTTCAAACATTTAGATCGAGACAACCTGCAAGAGCTAAACGGGTCACTAGTGTTAAGAAGATTTATTTAATTAAATCACACTTATGAACAAAATAACAAACTTCTTCCAGTTAGTGGGAACGTTATCTGTCAAACTGAAAAAGATAGTGCGGGACACGGACTATCGATTCGAAACGTCAATTGCGCCACCCGCATAGTTCAGTCGAGCTTCTTTATCACTACTATGGATTTTGTCATCCAATTACACAGAAGTTATGTTTCGTTATAGTTTTAAATCTCGAAAATGGCAAAATTTAAATATCAACCAGAATCTTATTACAAGAGCGTATATATATTACCCCTTAAATGAATTGGTGACTTTGTGAAGACGATTGTGAAGAACAGCCAGTTTATTTTTAACCGACTTCAAAAAAAGGAGGAGGTCTGCATTTTTTTTTTGTATGTATGTTACGCGTAACTCCGGCCGGCATTTGTAAAACGATTTTGATAATACTTTTTTTGTTGGAAAGAGCAGTGATCCCATTTAAATTTGAAGACAATATTCCACCTCTAACGGTGTATTTCCACTGGCGAGGCGAGACGAGACGAGGCGAGACGATTTTTAAAACTTGTATGGCAAAATACCAATTCTCTCCTCGCGCATCTTCGGTGGAAATGGTCGGTATTGACGAGGATGGGCGAGATGAGTTTTGAAATGTTTGTTGATGTAACAGTGAACCGTATTGCTGCCTCCTTTTTATTAACTCTGCAACGGAAACACGATTCACGATGCCTCGTACGATATCGCGCGGGCTCTCGCGTGCTCGTGCGAGATTGTAGGATACAGTCGCATGCATTGAAATGTGAACGTTCACACATTTTCGAAATTATGTAAATATTAGATATTTCAAAAAATGTACCTTGTGCTGTTTTCAAAAATATGTAATCACGACACCATTTTAAAAAAGGTATCCTGTCCTGGTGTCATACATGTATCCAAATCATTTTCGTAAATATTTATACAACGCATGTTATATATTTATAATTGCATTAAAATGTACACGATTAGGATTGTGATTTTATCATAATTATGTAACCACTTTTAAAACATTGCATCGTTTTCAATACAAAATACAGTTGCAATATAACGTAAACATACCAGCGCCAGTTATAATTTTTTTGATGTGTATTTTGTTAGTTCGTAATATTTGAACTGGGATAAAAGATTATATGAAAAAAAGTTATTTTCGAAACAGTTCCTTTTATATTTATTTATTTGTTTATTTTATCTTAGAGGGTACAAACAGCTTATATTACGACATGATTATTTCTTTTTACAGTATCTTCATCTGATTCTTCTTCCGTTAACATATTTAATAACAAGAATATGCGGGCCATGGTGCTTTAGCCGCGTGTTTATAGCTTGACGAATTCCACAGCACTGTGTCTTCACTATCCATAACCCTAGCGCGAGATCGTGAGTGCTCGCACGAAATCGTGAGTGCTCGCGCGAGACCGCGCGTGCTCGCGATGGCAATTTTTGGTGGAAATATTACTATTTCATTATCATTAAATTCTTTTAAATTTTAACAAAATTAAACTTACAGCCGCTTGAATAAGAGTTATATACAATATTTCAGTATTATTTTCACCC